TCATTGGAATTCTGCTTTTTTTTTTAAAAATTGACAACATTGTGGCTATATCTCTGTCATTGGAATTCTGCTTTGTTTTTCAAAATTTACACCACCACTATTACTGGGGCTACTATCGCTTCTGCTGCTTTTATCCTAGAGAGTTTTACTATCCTCTGCTTCTCTTGTGGGCCGAGAGTTACTATTCTCTGCTTATCTTGTGGGCCGAGCATTATTATTGTTTTCTTTTCTTGTGGGCCCAGTGTTAATATTTTCCCCTTCTCTTGTAGGCTGAGTGTTACTATTCTCTGCTTCTCTTGTGGGCCTAGAGTTATTTTTCTTCACTTCTCTTGTGGGTAGAGTGTTAATATTCTCTGATTCTGCTGTAGGCTCTGCATTACTATTCTTTGATTGTTGTGGGCCCAGCATTACTATTCTTTGATTGTTGTGGGCCCAGCATTACTATTCTTTGATTGTTGTGGGCCCAGCATTACTATTCTTTGATTGTTGTGGGCTCAGCATTACTATTCTTTGATTGTTGTGGGCCCAGCATTACTACTCTTTGATTGTTGTGGGCCCAGCATTACTAATCTTTGATTGTTGTGGGCCCAGCATTACTATTCTTTGATTGTTGTGGGCCCAGCATTACTACTCTTTGATTGTTGTGGGCCCAGCATTACTATTCTTTGATTGTTGTGGGCCCGGAATTACTATTCTTTGATTGTTGTGGGCCCAGCATTACTATTATTTGCCTCTGTTGTGGGCCAAGCATTGCTATTGTTTGCTTCTCTTGTGGGCCCAGTTTTATTATTATTTGTGTCTCTTGTGGGCATATTTTTACTATTCTTTGCTTTCACTTGTGAGTACAGAGTTACTTTGATTCTCTTGTGGGCCTAGCTTCTCCTGTGGGCACCAGTAACACAACACAATTTGACATTTTATAAAGAATCTGTTACATGATAGCGACAATTTAAAAACAAGCAACAAATGTGTTGTATGGCAGAAGAAGATGTATGGCTTTTAATATACTGATCATACACAAACAGTGGACGGTTTAATTTGCGGGTGTACATAAAAAACATGATATGAAACTAACTATCTTTACATATAACTTGCAAATATATATGTGTGTGTGTGTGTGTGGAGGAGGGGATGGAGGGAAGGCTAGCATAACAAGAGGCTTCAGATCACCTCCCTTTGGCAAATGTTTGAGCCCATTCACTTCTTCACTTTCTCAGGGTGTGTGTGTGTGAAAGGGGGTGGGGGAGATAGAGTTTACTTTTGTTCATGACCCCAAGTGTCCTCCTGTTAAACATTTAACTCCTATGTCAACATAAAACACAGGTGTATTATTTTTGACAATTGCCCTATAATGATCATCTCTGCATGTAATCACCCAAAAGCCACTTTGCCTGGAGAAGGCAAACCTGATGTATTCTATGCCACTGCAGAACTTTGGCAGGGAATGAGCCAGCTTCTCTCCATTAGCTTACCAGCCTCTGTTGCCACCCCCAGGCCTTGGTGATATACCACTCTGTGACATTACGTTGATGGGCGCATGCAAACACAACAAAAAATCACAAGAAAATACCTTCCACATAATAACTTGCTTGCTTGGTGATATACCACTCTGTGACATTACGTTGATGGGCGCATGCAAACACAACAAAAAATCACAAGAAAATACCTTCCACATAATAACTTGCTTGCTTGGTGATATACCACTCTGTGACATTAGGTTGATGGGCACGTGTGAAACACAACAAAAAATTACAAGAAAATACCTTACACATAATAACTTGCTTGCTTGGTGATATACCACTCTGTGACATTAGGTTGATGGGCACGTGTGAAACACAACAAAAAATTACAAGAAAATACCTTATACATAATAACTTGCTTGCTTGGTGATTTACCACATTGCGTTCATGGGCGCATGCAACCACAACATAAAATTACAAGAAAATACCTTACACATAATAACTTGCTTGCTTGGTGATATACCACATTGCGTTCATGGGCGCATGCAACCACAACATAAAATTACAAGAAAATACCTTACACATAATAACTTGCTTGCTTGGTGATATACCACTCTGTGACATTGCGTTCATGGGCGCATGCAAACACAACATAAAATTTCAAGAAAATACCTTATACATAATAACGCTTATCTGCGCCCTGCTAGAAAAAGCTTGCTTAATAAGGCACTGGCGTGGGTGATCTATATGACAGTGTTTACTGTCTCCGCTATTTGACATGTGCTTTTGGAGTTTGCATTTTTTTTCAATTTGGATATATTTAAATGCCAAGACACCTGGTCTCAAGAGCAAAGTGTGAGGAGCAAGCTATGGGGAACCATGAAGGACCTGCTTCTGACATGCGAGTTCAAAGAGGCAACCCACCTGATGGTCTGATCTAAGCATACGCAACCGAACGCAAGGAAGAAAAAGAAGAAATGCCACTGCATTTTTTTCTCTTCTTTTTCTGGAGGGTTTCTAAAAATATCTCTCTGTGATGTTAACAAACTTTTTCTTTCATTCATTATGAAATGGTCTATATCCAGAATATTATCTTTGTAGATTTTAATGTACTTTTTTTTCCAAACTCTTTAAACTATAATGTTTACTATGTTTAATAAGAGATAGAACCAGAAGGTTCTTAAAAAAAAAAAAAACCAATATGAAAAATTGTGGATTAATTAAAGCTACATTTCTTTAGTATGTTCTGACCAAATATTAAAAAAAACAACAAGGGAGCACATTATGCTAAGGAGTGAAATCAAGGGGTTAAGCCATTTACACACCAAGCCTTGTGTGTTGATTTCAAAAACGACCTTTGCAGCCAGGTGACCAGCCAAATGTTGACCACATCATCCACTCAATCAGTCTTGGATCACATGCTGGACGTGCCACTGATGTAAACAAGAGTCGTTGACTACTAACTTTACATAATAATAATCAAATGTCAGTGCTGTTTATGGGGGCTGCTGTCTCAGTACATGACCAAACCAACCCCTTCTTATCTCTCAGTGATGTCCATCATGAGCAATATATCCACATTCACCCCAGATGAACATTTAACAAAGGGGCACAAGAAACATGGTTACTTGAAACAAACTGGATGTGTTTAGATTACATTAAAAGGGCAAAGAGTGCCCAACATAGATACAATTATTCCCCCATACACCTGCTCTATTTGTGAACAAACTCTATGGAAATTTGCCTCAGAGCTTCATGTGGCCACACACATGTGGTTCATTTCTTGCAGAGTCCTTATGTCTGTAAATATAACACTCTCTATTTGTGTCATGTGCTGAAGAAGTTTTTTTTTAGCTACAACAGTCACCAGTTGTTTATAACTGTGATAGTTTCAACCTACTGGTTCTTCTTTTTATTTGGTTTGATATATTTCTATGGAAGCGTTAACAGCACTAAGTAGTCTATGAAAATGTTAACAACCTCAAACTGTCTATGGAAATGTTAACAACCTCAAGTTGTCTATGGAAATGTTAACTCCAAATTGTCTATGAAAATGTTAACTTCAAGTTGTCTATGGAAATGTTAACTCCAAGTTTTCCTTGGAAATGTTAACAACCTCAAATTGTCAATGGAAATGGTCAAATTGTCAATAGAAATGGTAACTCCAAGTTGTCCTTGGAAATGTTAACAACCTCAAGTTGTCTATGGAAATGGTAACTCCAAGTTATCTATGGAAATGTCAACTCAAAGCTGTCTATGGAAATGTTAACTCTAAGTTATCTATGTAATTGTTAAATCCAAGCTACAACGTTAAAGGTGTCTAACGTGCAACGAAGAAGAATTTACCTATTTGTGTGTTCACAAAGTCCAGAACCCAAGGGCTGCTCCCCGATGATCCCCGGAGGACGCAGCCTGTGTTATGCGGAAAGCTCAATATACGGTTGTGAGGTTAAGCAGTTATGTGCAGGACGTGACGATTCCTTGGGTGAGCCCAGAACCAGAGCATTATGTATCGGCTCTGCTATTATGGAAGCCTCCTTGGATGGTGGGGAATGCCCAAGATCCGCCCTGCCTTCCCTTGAGGGCCAACCGTTCCACACAGGGCTGTCCCAAAGGGGGTACTCCGGGGGCAACACCTGTGGAGAAAGGGATAAAGAGGACACCACACAAATAAGGTAACATCTCGACCCACACAAAACAATGGCCACAGTCATCCTAGAAATAGGACTGACGTCTTCACTCAAAGTCGGAGTACATCTGCCCGTGAGGTAGGGAATGGCAAAAGCCAATAAAACGGTTGTACACGCAAAACTCAGGTCCAGGTAAAAGCCAAAAGTTCAAGAGGATGATTAACCTCGACCTTCTGCCGGAATTCACAGCCGGTGAACGAAGAAGAAGAAGAAGAAGTTAACTCCAAGCTGTCTATGGAAATAGTCTGTCGAAGTTGTCTATGGAAACATAAACAACCTTAAGCAGTCTACTGATATGTTAACACTTTAAGTTGTAAAGTAAAAGTCCCCTTTCAGGCCTCTGGTACCTTGGGCATATGATTCTACTTATAGCTTTATAGACCAAATGGTGGATCAGAATAAAAAAAAATCACCCTGGCTACTTTACTTCCCAGGACATTTTCTGACCCCCACTGTAGACAGGGTTAACCTGGGAGTATTAGGTCAATTATAAACCATCTGCCCAAGGTGACTGCTGCTTTACCTAAACATATTCACGCTGACATTTGAAGGTGGATAAAGAAGGAGTAGGAGGAGAAGGTGGTGGTGGAGGAAGTGGAGTGAAGGAGGTGGAGTGAAGAGGTGGAGATAAGGGAAAGGAGTGGCAGAGCAGGTGAAGGTTGTGGAGTAAAGAGGAGAAAGTTAAGAGGAGGAGTTTGTGGACTGAAGGTGGAAAAGGAAGGGGGGGGGGGGAGAGTGAAGAAGGAGAAAATGGTGGTGGAGTGAAGGGGAGGAGAAACTAATTGAAGAGGAGGAGGAGGAGAAGGAGAATACAATTTCTATTAAAATAAACAGCTGTTGAACCAATGAATTAAAATCCTTTCCGGAAACACAGTATCCCAATGATATAAACAGCTTCAGTGATGGCCGGTAAAGCCGAACAGAATCCAAAAATATACCAGTACCATTCGCAGGGCCACTGGTCAAACAGGAAGTATGAGAGAGCTATGGCTGCTGCACTATGGGCCGCTGTTGCTGGAGGAAGGTTAAGGATGCAAACACACCTGACCATCATTAAGTTAAACAACAAATTATTTTTTAAAAAATGCCTAAATAAAAGTAAACTCTTCTGACTTCTACTAATTCAAAATACTGATGCAACAATAAAGACTTTTGACTTTCCAAGTACTTTGTAAGTGCAAGGGAGGCTTCAAATAAAAACCTTACAAGTGTGACAGAAATTACAGTAACCATGCCACTGTCTTTTTTTTTTAAGTCAATGAAGGGATGACGCCCTATAGAAGTTCTTGGGTCACTGAAGGGATGACATCCTATAGAAGTTCTTGGGTCACTGAAGGGATGACATCCTATAGAAGTTCTTGGGTCACTGAAGGGATGACATCCTATAGAAGGTCTTCAGTCAGTAAAAGGATGACACCCTATAGAAGGTCTTCAGTCAGTGAAGGGATGACACCCTATAGAAGGTCTTCAGTCAGTGAAGGGATGACACCCTATAGAAGGTCTTCAGTCAGTGAAGGGATGACACCCTATAGAAGGTCTTCAGTCAGTGAAGGGATGACACCCTATAGAAGGTCTTCAGTCAGTAAAAGGATGACACACTATACAAGGTCTTCAGTCAGTGAAGGGATGACACCCTATAGAAGGTCTTCAGTCAGTGAAGGGATGACATCCTATAGAAGTTCTTCAGTCAGTGAAGGGATGACATCCTATAGAAGGTCTTCAGTCACTGAAGGGATGACACACTATAGAAGGTCTTCAGTCAGTGAAGAGATGACGCCCTATAGAAGGTCTTCAGTCAGTGAAGGGATGACACACTATAGAAGGTCTTCAGTCAGTGAAGGGATGACGCCCTATAGAAGTTCAGTCAGTAAAAGGATGACACCCTATAGAAGGTCTTCAGTCAGTGAAGGGATGACACCCTATAGAAAGTCTTCAGTCAGTAAAAGGATGACACCCTATACAAGTTCTTCAGTCAGTGAAGGGATGACACACTATAGAAGGTCTTCAGTCAGTGAAGGGATGACACCCTATATAAGTTCTTCAGTCAGTGAAGGGATGACACACTATAGAAGGTCTTCAGTCAGTGAAGGGATGACACCCTATAGAAGGTCTTCGGTCAGTGAAGGGATGACATCCTATAGAAGGTCTTCAGTCAGTAAAAGGATGACACACTATAGAAGGTCTTCGGTCAGTGAAGGGATGACACCCTATATACGTTCTTCAGTCAGTGAAGGGATGACATCCTATAAAAGGTCTTCAGTCAGTGAAGGGATGATGCCCTATAGAAGGTCTTCAGTCAGTGAAGGGATGACGCCCTATAGAAGGTCTTCAGTCAGTGAAGGGATGACATCCTATAGAAGGTCTTCAGTCAGTGAAGGGATGACATCCTATAGAAGGTCTTCAGTCAGTAAAAGAATGACACCCTATATAAGTTCTTCAGTCAGTGAAGGGATGACGCCCTATAGAAGGTCTTCAGTCAGTGAAGGGATGACGCCCTATAGAAGGTCTTCAGTCAGTGAAGGGATGACATCCTATAGAAGGTCTTCAGTCAGTGAAGGGATGACATCCTATAGAAGGTCTTCAGTCAGTAAAAGGATGACACCCTATATAAGTTCTTCAGTCAGTGAAGGGATGACACACAATAGAAGGTCTTCAGTCAGTGAAGGGATGACACCCTATAAAAGCTCTTCAGTCAGTGAAGGGATGACACCCTATAGAAGGTCTTCAGTCAGTGAAGGGATGACACCCTATAGAAGGTCTTCAGTCAGTGAAGGGAAACCACCCTATATAAGGTCTTCAGTCAGTGAAGGGATGACACCCTATAGAAGGTCTTCAGTCAGTGAAGGGATGACGCCCTATAGAAGTTCTTCAGTCAGTGAAGGGATGACACCCTATAGAAGGTCTTCAGTCAGTGAAGGGATGACACCCTATATAAGTTCTTCAGTCAGTGAAGGGATGACACCCTATATAAGTTCTTCAGTCAGTGAAGGGATGACGCCCTATAGAAGGTCTTCAATCAGTGAAGGGATGACACCCTATAGAAGGTCTTCAGTCAGTGAAGGGATGACATCCTATAGAAGGTCTTCAGTCAGTGAAGGGATGACACCCTATAGAAGGTCTTCAGTCAGTGAAGGGATGACGCCCTATAGAAGTTCTTCAGTCAGTGAAGGGATGACACCCTATAGAAGGTCTTCAGTCAGTGAAGGGATGACACCCTATATAAGGTCTTCAGTCAGTGAAGGGATGACACCCTATAGAAGGTCTTCAGTCAGTGAAGGGATGACACCCTATATAAGGTCTTCAGTCAGTGAAGGGATGACGCCCTATATAAGTTCTTCAGTCAGTGAAGGAATGACACCCTATATAAGTTCTTCAGTCAGTGAAGGGATGACATCATATTTAAGTTCTTCAGTCAGTGAAGGGATGACACCCTATAGAAGGTCTTCAGTCAGTGAAGGGATGACACACAATATAAGTTCTTCAGTCAGTGAAGGGATGACACCCTATAGAAGGTCTTCAGTCAGTGAAGGGATGACACCCTATATAAGTTCTTCAGTCAGTGAAGGGATGACATCCTATAGAAGGTCTTCAGTCAGTGAAGGGATGACACCCTATATAAGTTCTTCAGTCAGTGAAGGGATGACACCCTATAGAAGGTCTTCAGTCAGTGAAGGGATGACACCCTATAGAAGGCCTTCAGTCAGTAAAAGGATGACACCCTATAGAAGGTCTTCAGTCAGTGAAGGGATGACGCCCTATAGAAGGTCTTCGGTCAGTGAAGGGATGACGCCCTATAGAAGGTCTTCAGTCAGTGAAGGGATGACGCCCTATAGAAGGTCTTCAGTCAGTGAAGGGATGACTCACTATAGAAGGTCTTCAGTCAGTAAAAGGATGACGCCCTATAGAAGTTCTTCAGTCAATGAAGGGATGACACACTATAGAAGGTCTTCGGTCAGTGAAGGGAATGGTCAGCTCTTGATACCAGTGTCAAAACTAACGCTAGGCAGACTGCTGCCACATCACCCACAGCTGGGATCAAATCCGGCATCTCAGAATTACAAGGCCTGCTTGCAGCGCCTGATCTAAAGATGCTGAGATAGCAAGTACATATCTTATAGCAACTACATATCTTCTTCACTTCCTCTTGTTCCGCTCCGGATGTCAAGAGGAGATATAAGATTCTGGTTCTTACCTTCTGGCCAACTCAGCCTTAGACACAAGATGTTGTAATTTATCTGATGTAGTAGAGTTTATCTGTCCATATTGTTCTTGGTCTTCCCCTGGACTACCACCCTCTCCTCTTTTGGCATATGCCTTATATGGTATGGCGTTATAATGCATTCTCTCTAAATGGGCAGACTGTTTATTTACTGTCCTTGTATTTATTTATAATTGCGTGTGTGCTGATTTTTCTCTTATGACTTAATTCATGATGATCTCTTCTGGTCGCCCCTGAAGCCTTTCTCAAACACTGCTTTTCCATGGTTAGGCATCAAAGCATGCAAAAGGTGTCTTTTATTACCTTTCCTAACAACAGTCAATTCATACACAACCAACATAACTAGCAAGCAATAATCAATACGTGTCGTGTGTCCCCTTCCCAAAATTCCAATTAAGGATACACAAGAGGCCTTGGAACGACATAAACATTGTGACTCCGCCCACAAAGCCGATAAGTTCCACAGCAAACAGGCCCAGTGTGATTGACAAGGCCACTATGAATCTGCAACCAATGAGAGAATACAATAAATTAAATAATAAATGATGAATGTTGTCAGTTAAAGACCTTTGTCACACCTTTGAGGCACTGAGCATATAACATTAGAGCTATAGTTTTTACAGATTGGTCAGCACTCAATGGGTAATAATTAAAATTTGCTTCGATGTGAATTTGAACTATTGGTTGGCAAGTGAGCATCCAGTGGCTATGGTGCCACAGCTCCTCAGTGTGCGTGTATATATTTACATATAAATATATGGGAGTCACCGTGGCATAGCGGCTAGATGCTCGTGTGTGGATCTGAAGGTCGTGGGTTCGCTTCCTGGCGGAGCCGGACTTTTAAAAAAATTGACCTTGACTTCCAGGTCGACCCAGCCTAGAGTGGGTACCTGGTTCAGTCCTGGAAAGTAAAGGCAGCTGGCATGGTGCTGACCATATCACCGATCTTGTGCTGATTGGTCTTTAAAAATATCGGACCTTCCGATCTACGAGTGTCTAGCCGCTCGGCCACGGTGACTCCCACACATAATATCTAACCCAACTAAACACTGAAAAGTTATAAACAGTACCAAAGCCAGTCCCATAGTTGGGACTGGCCAATGTGGCAATGGCAAAACATCAACCTCTCAGGACTTTAAATATCACCTTCTCCAGGTGAAAGGAACCATGTTTACACATCGTCACATGAACATAATCACCACGGTTACTTACTCTGTATTTTTCTGGTCAAACTCTGATTGGCTATATTCTTCAGCAAGACTCATCTTGATGTTTTCATCCTGTGGAAACAAAGCAAAATAAAATAGTAACATTGGAAAACATAAATATTTTGTTTCCTTCATCATAAACAAGCAGAAAAAAGAGGAACGAACAAATAAACAACAAACAAACTTTATTTTTAAAGGGTTATGAATAGGGCACGTAGGCCTGCCTGTCTTACATCACATTTTTCCTTCTTTCCATTAATCAAAATTTCTGGTATTGCCCCACTCAATAATTCGAAAGCTGAAATATTTTGGTCTTACACCATAAGAGACAGGGCCGACCGACACGAATGGCGCCAAGAACTAATGAATGCAGAATAAAAATATAACAGTCCAAGCATAACAATTTCATAAAATGAAACTTATAGTGCTAAATAATGGCGGTGTAAGCTGTAATGATTACAAAATGGAAACATGTTTGGGGTCTGAAACCTGTTCACTGTGTTCATAGGTAAGTAAACTCATTAATCGCTAGGCCACCAGGGCTAAAACAAGTGTTCAGTAATCCAGAAACAGTGACTGCTGTCATAATGAAATGTTAATAAATCCAGAAATATATACAAATCCAGTTAAATACAATTTTTATTTAAATGTGAGGCATGTAAGCAAGTAAGTAAAGGATCCTTTCCACATGTTCAGGCATGAACTGTTAGACCTATATTTTATAGAGCACTTGGCATTTGGTGGGTGGGGAGACCAACATCATGCCAGCCACCTTTACTTCCCAAGACTTTACCTGGTACCAATTTAAGGCTGGACTGACACACTGTGGATCACGACGCCTTATGCTCTATAAGGTATAGAAGGAGGAAAGGTCAAGATGATAGAAGGACTGCACTAAACATACTGGTGCGGTAGAGGTACCTTTGGGTGGCTGCTGCATGAGAGGACTGAGCTTGCAAGAGAATGTCCAGTGACGTCAATTGTGATGACATAAAATAACATGATGCTGTAATCTTAATGTGAACAGACTAATGAACAAGCAAGCAGATGTTCATTCTCTGTGCAAATACAGGCTCTCTCAAAGACTGTTGACAACATGGCCACCGTGGTGTAGAAGCCGCCAAAGTGGACCAGTGAGTAGGGATTTAGTTTTATACAGACAAAGGATATCAACCAGTCAACACTGACTGCAGAATGTAGGAGGGCCTCCATGATGAAGCCATCTGCCCGTGCTCCCAGTTAGTGAACAGTGAGGATTGCCACTATCATCACAACACTCTGGACAAATCAAAAGTGCTGCAATCTCCTTCACAAAAACTCCACAAGGGTAAAAATGACTGATGATGTCTGTTCTGTGTTAATCAATTAAACGTGTATCCCCTTGTTGACATTGTTTATATTCGTCTTCCTGTAAATGCTGTGCATGGCATTCCACCATATGCTACCAGTCATAATCTGTACACGTGTTGCCTCAAACATACTCATAAAGTAAGTAAAGCAAAGGACCCTTTTCCACGCTTTCAGGCATTTAGGGCATATAGGGCTAGATCTATATATTTATCTATAACAGACCAATTGGCATAAGATGGGTGATGTGGTCAGCATCATGCCAGCCACCTTTGCTTCCCAGGGCTGCACCCGGTACCCACTCAAAGCTGGGCTGATTTGGAGCCAAGGTCATTTTTGAAAATAGTCCGACTCGCCAGGGAGCAAACCCATGACCTTCCGATCCGCGGTGAGCATCTAGCCACTCCGCCACAACTAACACCCTCATAACCTAGCACAAATAAGAAGGTTAGGCCAGCCATTCATGCTGTGTTTATGATACAATCTATTCTTGTCTGATGAATCAAGCGTAGATTTTTGTTAAGTATATTTGGTCTGAAAGTCATTGGTTTGTTTCGAAGACATACCATTCAGTTCATGAGTGCAGTTATTACGTATATCCCTGGGGATCGCCGTTGGAGCTACAGACCACGCTTTGAGCAGCATTAGAGAGTAACCTGGGGCAATGAAGCTGATTCTCTCAACTCCAACATTACATAAAGCAGTTTGTGAATAGCGACATCTGTGTGTAGAAATCTGCAAAAATGCAGGTGGTTTGTGATGACAAATGTTTGTTGAAAAAATAAAAGAATGAACGCAGTGTGTGGTGACAAATGTTTGTGGAAAACATCACAGAATGAAGGCAGTGTGTGGTGACAAATGTTTGTTGAAAAAATCACAGAATGAAGGCAGTGTGTGGTGACAAATGTTTGTGGAAAACATCACAGAATGAAGGCAGTGTGTGGTGACAAATGTTTGTGGAAAACATAACAGAATGCAGGCTGTGTGTGGTGACAAATGTTTGTGGAAAACATAACAGAATGCAGGCTGTGTGTGGTGACAAATGTTTGTGGAAAACATCACAGAATGAAGGCTGTGTGTGGTGACAAATGTGTGGAAAACATCACAGAATGAAGGCTGTGTGTGGTGACAAATGTTTGTGGAAAACATTACAGAATGAAGGCAGTGTGTGGTGACAAATGTTTGTGGAAAACATCACAGAATGCAGGCTGTGTGTCACAGAATGAAGGCAGTGTGTGGTGACAAATGTTTGTGGAAAATATTACAGAATGTAGGCTGTGTGTGGTGACAAATGTTTGTGGAAAACATCACAGAATGAAGGCAGTGTGTGGTGACAAATGTTTGTGGAAAATATTACAGAATGCAGGCGGTGTGTGGTGACAAATGTTTGTGGAAAACATCACAGAATGAAGGCAGTGTGTGTGTTTGTGGAAAATATTACAGAAAAGGCTGTGTGTGGTGACAAATGTTTTGTGGAAAACACAGAATGAAGGTGTGTGTGACAAATGGTGAAAACATAATGTGTGTAGAAAACAAGAATGCACTGATGACTAATGTGACAACAAAAAAAAAAATGGAAAAGGAAGTGTCAGTGAAAGATCTTCTACTGCCAAACAAACTACTGTTAGAGCTTAACTCTTTGAGGCCCAAACAACAGTGTGAGCATTCTTTGAGAGGGTTCCGCTTTGCCCAAACAATGGTGTCTTCGTCAATCGTGTGTCCCTTACATTTTGCTTCGCAAGCGGCTTCGTAATAGTTTCTAATGTTTGGAGGTACGATTAAACTATTTAGGGAAAGTCACTCTGCTGAAATCCTTTTAGTTTCATTTTCTGGACTAAACCACATGTGGATAATTTGAGAGAGAACACAGTGAATTTTTTTTTAGCAGTTATTTTCTAAGTTCGTTTTTGAGTGCCATGAATATCAATGTTCCAACTACAAGTACAGGTCGCAGAATGCGTCTTTCTGCAGCCGAAGCTCTGAAATTGTTTCAGTCAGATGTTCTTAATTGTGATAATGATAATAAAAATTTAGATTTTTCTGAAAGTGATTCGGACGGTGAATTTTCACCTGTGAAGCTGAGCGATCAGCTGTTTGGAATCTAGCGATTCTGTGAGTTTATTACACAAACAATGTCCCATACTACCGAATTTATGGTGTAAGAGAAGGAAAGTGCTCTAAACAAAGAGACAGTACTATACTATGGCTAAGCTACACCAAAATCATCGCAGCTACAGTCTGTAAATAACTGTACAAAGTAAATAGTAAATAGTGTGTGTGTAATGGCTTATTTTTCTGCCATTTTTTCTCTGAAATTTTGCTCAGCACTCTGTGAGAACTAAGAGCTCCTGAGTGCTAAACTTATCCAGAAAGTTATTATAACTTTGGAATATGTTAGGAAATTGAACAAACTTTGAAGTTTTGTTCTCAAATTTGGATATTTACTACTCTTGTGGCTGCAAAACCATGGTAAGTGAAGAATTTTTTGGTTAAATGTTGTCCTTGTGAAATTAACACCTGCTGAATTCTTCTTTCCCACTAACTATAACAAAATTAAACAAACACTTATCAGATCTAAAATGTACATTCATTTCTCTTTTAAAAAATATATACTTTTATAGGGATTAGAAGTATATTACAATCTCTATAGCCTTTCTTGTGCACCCACCCCTCTGCCATTTTTGTGAAGGGAAATTATTTTGGGCCAAGTCTGTCAAAATTCATAGGCCTGAAAGAGTTAAGCCTACTAATGGATGAAATGAAAACTAAAATATTTTAAGTGCAAAAGTAAATTGGGGAAAAAAATGTAGCAGAATTCATGGTAACAAGAAAAAGGTGCAGGGGCCGACTAGCACAAAGATGGGCACAGAATATAAATAGGACCCTGGGTATGAAAGTAAAGAAGTGGGAGAGCTGGTGAGAGAGCAAGTTCTATCCAGGCAGACAGGTATGAAAGCAACATTCTGCAAAGACCTGCTACATGATGATGATGTTGGCGGCAGTAATCAGATGTGGTTTAAACAGGTTATACATTTTGTTGTTGCTTCTCACTCTTCATTCTCTGTACATATTACTAAATATATGTTCCATATGTCACTCCTTATGAATCAATATTTCAAGAAATTATAGTATAAAAGCGAGTGATAGAAAAGACAACTTACTCTAGTCCATAAGATGACAATGACCAGAACCAAATGTGCTATTATCGTCAAGAACCGTGCTGGGATTAAACCAGTTGCTTGCATTTTGTTGTCTACTTGATTTTGTCTTATCTGTGCTAGCAACTGTACAGATAAATAATTCAGTTTTACAAACAAGAAATAACAACAACAAAAATTTATAGTTGTAAAGTTTTGTGCCGTCTCCACAATGCAGGTACGCTGCAAATGATCCACTGCTATATTTGGGGAAATTAGCAGAAAGTTTCAAAACAAATGCAATCGAATCTAAGGTCACCATTCTGTGTGCCAGGCTGCAATCAAATCTAGGGTCACTTCTCAGGGTGCCTGGCTGCAATCAAATCTGCGGTCACTTCTCTAAAAGCCTGGCTGCAATTAAATCTGCGGTCACTTCTCTAAAAGCCTGGCTGCAATTAAATCTGCGGTCATTTCTCTAAAAGCCTGGCTGCAATCAAATCCGGGGTCACTTATCGGTGTGCCTGACATGGTCATGATCTGTCTCATTGAAGTCACACAACTGTACAGTACCATATGAAATCATACATAACCACAACATCCAGTCATATCATTCACATCTGTTCTGAGGATTAAAAAGTCGACAGGATCGACTTTAATGTACTAGGTTTTATGTTTTATCTATTATAGCTCAGTCTCTTTCCTCAGAACAGCTAGTCGCTTGCTGAGAGAGTGTTGCACAAAGCACAAATGCTGTAGCTCTGGTAATGATCCACGGGGATCTCTGCGAAAATTGAACTGATAACCAAACAACCTTAACAGTGTAAGACAAATGACTTGACTGCTACATCACGGAGACCCCTGTAACACTGAAATGACATCAACCATATTATCTTCTTTCTGAGTCTCTGCAATTTTTGTGTCACTGTCAACTGCTTGTTCCACTTCTCTTGCTGTTCCATTATGCTGTTAGGTACTTCGGCCTACATCGCTTGAAAATTCCTTCTGTGTCTGGTTCATTATAAGTTGCCATCTCATCAGCCACTGCAATGAAACCTTCAAAATTTTTTTTTTCAAATCTGCCACAGTCGATGAAATGTCTGATGGGGCTAAAACATCAAGCTTTTGGATTGTGACAAATCCACACTTTTTGAAACAGTTTTGTATCCTTTCTGGCTGAACTTTATTCCAAGCAGAACTGATACAGAGGACAACATTATGAGCAATAACTGATGCAGCTGATGAAGTTACTTTCATGGGCAGACCACAGATCTGTTTCAATAATGACCCACTGCAAGAATTAGGCCCGGTAGTGCATTTTACATTTTTTTATGATGCCTTGGTCAAGAGGTTGAATTTCTGAGGTCATGTCTGGTGGCAGAGATTTCAGTTTCACGATGGTGAGATGATCCACTTGTGGGTGGCTAGGACAGGTGTCCATTGTAAAGTTAATGGATCCTTTTCCACACCTTCAGACATACTGGGTATGTAGGGCTAGACCTATATTATTTTATAGACCAATTGGCACTTAGTAGGTGATACAGTTAGCATCATGCTGACCACCTTCACTTCCCAGGACTGCATCTGGTACCCTCAAGACTGGGTCAACCTGGCAGCCATGGTTATTTAAAAAAAAAGTCAGGCTCCATCTAGACCTGAACCCATGACCTTCTGATTCACAGGTGAGCATCTACTACAACACTGAACTCTCAGTTGGCTACTCTCAGTAGTTTTCATTACCTCAGGGGTGTCACCTACCTACACCTGAAATATAGCACCAGTCATCCATGTGGATTTGTTTTTTATTCAAGTAATGGGGAGGCTATCGGGCTTGAGGTTCTTGAACACACAAGGGTAGTTTTCCATTGAGAATATGTGGTGAACATCTTATCAATGACAATGAGCTTAAATTCCAGAGCTGATCAACACAGAGAGGTGGTAAACTTTAGAGGCTTTACTGTAGCTGCATGTCCGTTCTCTCAAACTTTCTTTTATTAATCTTTTAAGGACTTCATAATGTAATTAACCAACTACAATATTTATTTATTGGTTTTTCTGAGACTTTGCAAAGTAATTTTAAAAACTGTTTCGTAGTTTACAAAAAATAGTAAGTGTCACAACGTGGATGGAGGCCTCATTGCGTAATTTTAGAATAAATATTCCTAAAGACAGCAGTGAGTGTAACCAAACTCTATTTGTGGAGATGGAACAGAAATTTTATATATAAAAAAAAAATGCCAAAACAATTTAGAATTTATGGCTATCCTCCAAATAATGGTTGGTAAAGATGGCGGCCGCAAAATATCCTTTCGAGCCACAGTCACGTGACCTAATTTGCCACGAGTCCCCCACGCCACGTGAACGGCGTGGATTGGGGCTAAACTAGATGGCTAGGACTCATGAGCAAAGCTTCAGGAGATGCGAAAGTTGCTGCTCGTGGGTCCTAGCCATTTAGTTTAGCCCCAATCCGAAAACCGCAAATTAAGTCGCCAGAAGTGCGTAATTGACACGTGACTGTGGCTTAAAAAGGATATTTTGCGGCCGCCATCTTTACCGACCGTTATTCTGAGGACAGCCGAATTTTTAGCACATTCATTAGTTAGCGACTACGGTGTTCGGCAATTGGCGGTCTTTTGGCAATTTCCGTTACCATGGAAACCGTTCGAAACTTGCTTCGCAAATGTCAGCTGGGGTTTCGGGATGGGTCCTAATCTCTCATGAAATTTTGCGATTGGTGTGATTTTCACCCACTATAAAAAGCTGAAAACGGCGGGAAGGAACCCGATTAACAGCGCATGTGTACGACAGCCGGACGTCCTCTGTTTTTCTGTTACATCAGTTTGATTGAAAATAGCGATAAGTATTCAGGGTTGGCTTTAGGCTTTAACTGTTACTGGCCCTGGCAATGCTAGTTATAATTGAATTCTCCGTCCAATTTTACATTTGTATATAAAATTTCTTTCTTGTCCGTGGCTGTTTAGATTTACAGTGACATTTTTTCAGGCAATCGCTATTATGTGGCTGTGTCTGAGAAAAATTGTCTGCCATCTTGTCCAATGAAAACAAAGCCAAAACGAAAGTTGCGCAGTTCGGTTGTGCAGAGAAAACTTCTTGTTTCTCAGACACAAGTTTTAGCAGCTGGTTTTTACATCTCATCTCCACAAAAAATCTACATATCTCAGCTCAGAAATGACATACAAGGCTAAATGAGGTACCATTGGAAAGAGATTGTTTACAGCTATCTAACTAGTAACTGTGCTGGTTTTATTGGTGTTGAGGGCATTTTAAAAATTTGACTATAGTTCCTATCATTAGTTTGCTACTGATTTCTCCTGGAGGGTACATCAGTACATCGCTCATACCATTGCACAAATTAATGCAAAGCGGACATCTTAGTAAAATACTAACTACTAACCTTAAGTTAGGCTGCATCAACGATGACGGTTGATACTGATAAGTTGGCTCAAACGAGTTTTTTTTTTTTTTTTCAAAGGGGGGAAAATCCAGGGATAGCGTCTATCGCAACCAGTAAAATAATATTGGGGAAAAGTATACGTAGAACCATAAAAACACCATTATTGTCTTAAAGAAAACTGATTCTAATATACTGATTCCAAATGTAGGCCTGAGTTAGGAAATGCATCGCTATGGTTACATAAAATGCAGTTAAAGTTGTTTGCTTCACCGAGTTCGTTGTCCGGGCTTGTTGTTGGTGGCCATGACACTTTGTTTGTTTACTTCTGACTTCCGACTCGAGTAAATTAAAATGTTTTTAGGACTGAGTTAACGAACACAAAGGCATAAGAAATAATATGCCAAGTTGTTTTACAACGCCCCCCCCCCCCCTTTTCCCCCCAATTTGTTTTAACACTTCCTCCTGTACGATTGCATGCTGAAAGAATAACATCCAGTGACATGAGAAGATGCTATTCCGATGAAAATCCAACAGAAGAAAATCCCAGAAACCCCGTTTAACCGAATAAAACAGTAAATGGTCAAAGTGACAAATTTGTCCTGGATGTTGAGTTGAGCTGAGTCAAGAATTGACACCACAGCACTCATGCATGCTCCGTCCTTATCTTCAGCAGCCAGCGCAGAGTTCCAATACTGATGGTACCGGTCACAATCTGGTTAAGTGTCCGTCTTGCCTTTCCTCTGAGTGCATACAGCCGGCCAGACCCTCTGGTTACACCCAGGTGCCTCATTCTATCCAGGCCATAATAATCTTCTGTCTCTACTAAATCCGTTGCTTGTTCCTAGAGGGCCTTGACCCCATCTGCTTTGTCATGTATCAATTCACCAAACAGTGGTGCAGATCCAGCCAATCTGTCTGACTGTTCATTACCCGCCACGCCTACACAATTCAGACTTTTCCGCTGGTACTCTGACCCACTACTCTCCTCGCCAAATGTTTTCCAGCATGCATACTTGTCTTTTGTGTCTTCTACTTAAACCATCGACGATTTTCCCCTTTTCAGCCTCAGACCCTTGCCTGCAGCCAAAGCTTCATATAGAGGGTGTTCCCTGTCTGCAGCTACTCTGAGGTATGACTTAGCCTGTAGCACCTTTAACTTATCTGCAATAGTCGGCAATGCAAGGATTTATCGCATGCACATAATCAGGGTGTCGCTCGAACAACCCAGGATCAGCCGCATAGCGCCATTCTGTATGCGCTTCAGTTTCTTCAGTCGACTCTTCGAGACAGTGGTAACCCCAATCCACAATCAATCACTGAGATGATTCAGTGCTGGTCAAGTGTGAACAACATTCTCTGCTCCGTGTCCTGGATATTTGCAAGGACAGCCATTCCAGTGTATAATGAGCTCCTAACATTAATCTGAGACCTAAGGTCTAATAAGTGGACAGTCCCTAACAATCGGGGACGAGGGGGTCACTTTATTTCAAGCGACGTGGCGGTTACGAAGTAGAGTAAAAACCCGGCTAACACGATTTCCAAGTGATCAAAAATTGAGTACGTGTTAACCAATCGCAGTTACCAAATAATAATTAAACATCTTTGCTGACTGACTGATGAACAACCACACCAGGACATCACACCCAGCGATAAACACCAGATTACACAAAGTGTCACCATTCGGATAAGGATCATC